CTCAGCTGCTGTGTCTGACGGAGCTGGAGCACTTCATCGCTCCCGCTGGCCCCCGCTCGCCGCCTCCTGGAAGTTGCTGGTGCTGCCGCACAAATGTCACGTTTCCTCTCGCAGCAGCTGCCCCACTACTGCAGTTTGCAGCCTTGTGGTTTAAAATAAACCGGAGTATTTAGGAACGTTTGACCCTAACAGAGCAAACTCTGAACTGTTCCGCCTCAGCCACTGCCTCACCGCCCTGAGGCCATGCGGGTGGTGAGGATGGACATCCATAGGGATGTCATGACAGTTACCCCACAGTCGTATCTCCACAGTCATATCCCCTATCTCCAGCTGTGAGAGCCCCTCACCCACAGGGAAAAGGCCTTGGGTGTGAACAAGGCTGCAGGGCTTTTGTTTTGTGGGAAACGTGGCATCATCCATGGCTAACAGTCACTGGTGCGTGATGCTGCACCCAAGCGTGTAGGGGAAGGGAATACAGACGGGAGGAGGCATCTCTGTGTGGGGCAGTGCACGAAGCAGAACGGTCCCAAATCCCAGGTTTCATGGGGAGGCTGTGGAAGCTTTGCCTTCAGATTCAGTGCTGGAGGGAGTAAAAGAGGTGAACGGACTGGTGAAAATCCTCCTGGTACAGCATGTGGAGGCTGAAAGCAGTAGGGGATACCCAGGAGGTCCGAGCTAGTGCTAGGGCAGGTTTAAATTGAAAGGGGGTAGATTTAGATTAGATATCATGAAAAAATTCTTCATGGAGAGGGGGGTGAGGCACTGGGACAGGTTGCCCAGAGAAGCTGTGGATGCCCGATCCCTGGAAGTGTCCAAGGCCAGGCTGGATGAGGCTTGGAGCAACCTGGTCTAGTGGAAGGTGTCCCTGCCCATGGCAGGGGGGTTGGAACTGGATGATCTTTAAGGTCCCTTCCAACTCAAACCATTCTGTGATTTTATCATTTTCCTGGGGCTTACTCAAGGTTCTGAATTTAACCAGTAATGACAAAACCAACCTGGGTCACAAGAGCGAGGTGGGGAAGTGTATAGCATGCAAGAAACCCGCTGAATCCTCTTACTGACAAAGTGCTGCTGAGGTCTTGGGTGGATCAAGGATATTTTAGTTGCTACTTACATATCCTTGATTCCCTGTTGATGGATTCCAGCTAGCTAATTTTATGTTTTCTTTTTTTTTTTTTAATATTTACTCCCTTTGTTTCATGCACTGACTCAGTGCTTCCAGATGGGAAAGTGTGGTTTATCTTAAGAACTTGGGAAAAGTTTTTTTTCTCCCAATTTCCTGGGGGAAGACAAGCCAGTGAAGCCTGTTTTAGATGGTAATTTCATGAAAACCGGAACACTACTGCTCTTCATAACATCTGGCAGAATGGTTACAGCTGCACAGCCCTGACTCATCTTAAGAAAAAGTTTGTCTTATGCAATTTGGGAAAAGTAGTATGTGGTCATGTAATTTAGGAATTTAAAAGAATGCGTGTGCCTCTCAGCAGAATTACATTGCATTGGCAGTCTTAATGTTATAATTTATTAACATTAATGGCATGATTTTGCTTCTTTTAAATTATTATTTTAATATTATTTCCGACATGGCTTCAGTGGATTGTAAAATCTATTACGTAGCTGTTTCATCTGATGAATTTTTTAAAGCAATACGGATGTAGACAAGTGCAATCAAATGATGTATGTGTATGCAATGTAAATATATACATCAATATCACCGGTCTTCTGCATAAATCGTTAGCATTATGCAGATATGTGCCCATATTAAATGTGAGCTACCTTTTTATTTAACTCCCTTCAGCAATCTTTTTTTTTAATTAAGAGGTATATGTCTTCTAAAGAATTATTAATATTCACACATATTAATTTACCACAGCTACAGACAAATTGAGTCAGATTCATATGGAAGCATACAATTCCCTTGCGATGAAATGAGATGCATAATATATCAGCCCACACTCATTTTACTTCTGCCGTGCCCGTTTGAAAATACGACTGTGACTTGAAGAGTCGCCGGCTGAGCCTTTACTTTGCCCAGTTCAGAGAAGAAAACATCTCGCCATGATGTGTTGTCCATCTTTCATCACTGTTTTCCTGAAAATTCCAATTAGAAACATCATGCTGTGCTCCCAAGAGACATCAGGAGTGAGATGACATGCTGTTTTCTTTCTCTATCTCAGCTTGACAAAGAAAACAGACTAGGCCTGTTCTTCCAGTAGAGCTTTATCCTGACTACAACAAAGCCAGTTATGATTCATCTGTAGGTGTTTCTACCTTGACAATATAAAGGAGTCTTTCAGCTGGGCTTTGCTCACCCACTTTGCCTATGGCCTGTTGGAACTTGAATCGTTTTTTTCCTGGCTAAAACAAGCTCTGGAGTGTGCTGTGCTCATTGTAAAGGGTAGGGGTTGGAATGGAGTTTTACATTTTCATTCATAGTCCAGTCCCAGTGTAGCTGGTCTGTGAGGAGGAGGGTTTTTTTCTAGTATTAGTAATGGGTCTTTAAGCTTGTACAGTGGTATTTTGGTCTTGGCTCGTGGGCACTGGCTGGGTTAAAGGTCCTACCTGGTATAACCTTGAAACTCCTCCTTAAGGTCTTGACCTAACTTGTTCCAGGGCGAAGTCTGATGAAGAGTTGCTCTTACATGAGGATCACTGTGTAAATAAAGAGGTAGTTTTGTGTTCAGGGTCGGGTTCTTCCTTACAGGAGTGTTCCCATCACAAAACCCAGCAAAACAAGGCGCTCTTGCTCCTCCTGGTAGCCTCAGAGAGGCACATCATTCAACAGGCCACTATCTTGTCCTTTTTTTCCCTTAAAAAGGGTCACTGAGGCATCATATGAGGAGCAGCGACTGCAGCCCTGTGGCCCCCAGGTTGCTGTAACCGAGCGGACCCTGGCAAAGGCCTCTCTGGACAGGATGATTGAACATTTTTTTTCCCCATGGAAAAGCATGGGATCAGTTCTGCCGTAGACTCTCCCTTTTCTACACCCTTTGGGTTTGGTTCGTAACTTTTAAAAAGGAGGGGAAAGAGGAGGAGAGGGGAGGTGGCAAAAAACTCTCTTCCCCTCCCTTTTCCCAAAAGTCATCCGATTTCCCGAAAATGCCTAATACAGGCCAGATCTGTGTGCCCCCCCGCGCAGCCTGAGCCAACAGGATTGTGCAACTTGGAAATTCCCCTTCCTGCCGAGAGCCGGCAAGCCGAGCATCTCACCCCGGGGGGAAGGCTGGGGAGTCGCATCCCGCAGATAGAGGGTGCTGCGATATTGCGAATTAGAGCTCTGTCCCCCTGACCCCAGCCTTGGGCACGTTTGGAGGAGGGTGTGCCCAGAAATGAAAAACAGAAAGCGAGGAAAGAGACGGGAAGAGAGAAGAAAACCAGCCACGAACTAGGGAGAGAAGGTAAATATTGCAAGCATTATAAGTGGGAAAGGAAAATATTCCTGAGCGTCACTGTTGGACAGTTAGGACAAGCTGCTCCCCATCCCCAGGGTCTTAGCATAATTTTTGGGGTGCTGGGAAGAATGACTTGGGTACCTCGGGGGGGAGGTGCTTTCTATCTCAATTTGCCATGCACCAGCGTGGTGTTTGGAGACACTGATGGTCATGAGGGGAGGACATGGGTGCTGGTGAGTACCAAGATAGAGGTCATCTCCGTTTTGCCAGTACGGAGCCTAGCATCCCTTCGTGAGGTAGGGGTTGCTGTATGCAGGAAGGGAGAGAGACGTCAGCTTGCTTTTGAGGCACATCATTGACATGTGCTCCACAAGCTGGGGCCTTAGGGTCTTTGACCTGCCTAGCAGACACACAGAAGCAGAGGCAACATTAATCAATCGCACTGTTTTTTTGTCCCAGACCGTAACTCCAAAGTCCAATTCCTGAATGTTTTCAGAAAGGAAGATCTGCTTTTTCCACATGTGGTGAGTTATTGAATCTCCAAGGAGAACTCAGGTTTATTAATAATTTCATGTTATAAATTAAGTGGTTTTCCAGTGTTGCTGTACTGATTCTCAAATCTGAGTGTATCTATAGCCCAAGTAGCCTCCAGAGCAAGGCAGTGAAATAGGGGATAGCACCTGAGACACTCCAACTCCTGCAGCATTACCAGCTATTCCAGAGCAGGAGAGGAGCAGAGAGCATCACTGAGGTTGTACTACTTCTGTGTGAAATGCTACAGGAGAAAGACAAACCCCACACAGCCACAGCGTTGGTCAGGAAAGCTCCAAAGCCAGGAGCTATGCTGCAGGCTATATACAGCCAAAGACCAGCTTTTTCCCTAGGGACTGTGTTTGTATGTGGACAGAGAAGACTACTTCAACGTCACCTTCCTTCCTCTTTTCTCAGGTACCTTATCTCCTTCTGTCTCCCTGCCTGGGCTGATGCAGCCTCCATGTATGGTGAGATCTTGTCTCCCAATTACCCTCAGGTGTATCCTAATGATGTGCAGGAATCTTGGGAAATCCAGGTCCCTTCGGGATATGGCATTCGCCTTTATTTCACACACCTGGATCTTGAACCATCGCAGAACTGTGAATATGACTCTCTGAAGGTACTGTCCCTGGCTTCACGCGAGCAAAAGACAAGAAGGCGGGTTAGAGCACACAACAGAAAAGCTGTGTACAAACCCCGGGGCTGGAAGAGGAGATAGACACGTCCTTCCTGTTCTGAGCCCCAAGAACCCCAAATGACTGAGTATATCTGCACTAGCAGCCGCTAAGTAGATTTGAGTTTGCTTCATAACCACATGAGCATTGTCTGCCAACTGAGTGTCCCATCTATGCCCCCCTCCTCATGTTTCTCCTATATTTATAGGAAAACCCTTCTTAGGCACCACTAACACCTCCCTGCTGCAAGGCATATTCTTGGCCAGTGAACTATAGGTATAAAAGAACCATTTTCTAAGGGAATTGATTTTCTGCCTCTGAAATTATTCAGAATTAATCCGTGAGAGGACATAGATGATTTAATGCAATCATAAATTGATTGGAAATTGTGAAGGTTAAAACCAATCAAGAGGTTGGTGTATGGATAGTGGGCACTCAGATAGTGTTGTGGTCCATTACACCACAGTTTTCGGTGATCTGTGTGCCCCAGTTTTCCTAAAACTTAGAGAACCCCTAGCTCTGCTCCATGTTGTCCCACAAGGCACAAAAGATCAAGGATTTCCCAGACCATCCTATCTTGCAACAGGATGTGTGAAAAGGGGCACTAAGGTCAGGTGCAGCACCTGAAGGAGACCTTGGAGAAGGACCAAGGAGGGACAGTAGGATGGATACGCTCTGCTAGGAGCTATAATAACATGTCTTTTGGCAACAAACGGCTGAACCTGTTAGACTGCTCGGCAGACCATTAGTGATTGGTTTTGCCATTTTCACAGAGTCACAGGATGGTTTGGGTTGGAAGGGACCTTAAAGACCATCCAGTTCCAACCCCCCTGCCATGGTCAGGGACACCTTCCACTATTTTGAACCATGGTGTTCATTTTTTGTACAAGTGGGCCTGAGGAAAGGATGTTAACAGGGAATTGCTGGATTAATTTGTATCTGAAAAGTGAAGATGGGTATTTCACAGCTGCGAAGCCAGTAGGAGAGAACACCCCTCAAGTGTCTTACAGATGGCGTGAAACGGGTTTGTCCATTCAGCTGTACCTTGGCTGGCTGTCCTCCAGCCTTGGCCAGCAGCGTGGGTCATGCAGCAGCCTCGGTCTCTCCTGCTAGCTGTGTGACATAGCTGTGCCCTGGGAGATCTGGGAACATCATGAGAAATGCGTGTGGCTTAGGAGCCTTTTGGTTAGCCACCTATAAGCTGAAAGACCCGAGTGTTGGTAGCTACACACATTCCAGTACTGAGATGAGACCTCTCCGCGTTCTTCTGCAGATCCTGTCTGGTGGCCATCTTGAAGGTGTGCTTTGTGGGCAGAAGAAACCTCGTGCCCCTGGCTCCTCGATCGTGGAGGAGTTTCATGTCCCTTATAACACCCTCACTATGAGCTTCCAATCAGACTTTTCCAATGAGGAGCGTTTCACTGGTTTTGCAGCCTACTACGTTGCAGTGGGTAAGGTTAAAACATCCTCCCGTGAATCTCTTTAAGCATCTAGGCTGGGGCTGAAGGGGGGAAG